GGGCAGGGCAGCCATGGGGGCTTCTCCCACAGCTCCCCAGCTGTACTCAGCATGGGCTGTGCCAGGCAGACTCAGGTGCTGGCAGTGGCCCCAGCCCCAGCTGGGTGCGGTAGCATGCTGTCATCCCACACACAGATCCGGGGGCCTGCGCCCCTAGGAGGGCTGTGGGGCTGTGCCAGACTCCTCCTGGGGGGCACAGGCCTCCAGATCTGCAAGCAGGATGACAGCAGGCTGCCATCCCTCCCCCAGAGTGCTGGGATTGGAAGGGACCTTGGGGACAGCTCGCAGACACTGGACTGCTACAGATGTCAGTATCAGAGCAGTCCTTCCACCCCTCTTCCCCCTCCCTCTCTCCCGCTTCTTAGTTTCTGTTTCCCTTCAAGCCTGGCTCCGAAACATTTCTGAAACATTTTGGATGGTTTTGTTTCATTTTGGAAATATTTCAGAGCCTTCTGTTTCGTTTTGGATTCACTGTTTCGGGCACTGAAACTCCTCTGAAATGAAAAGGCTGCTGAAATTTTACACAGCCCTAATAATAAAGCAATGAAATGATTAGCATATTACCTTTAATCACATGGATATTTTGCCAAAAGTTGTCCTTGTTGCAAATGTTCACTTTGATAATGGAGTTGAACAAACTGTTTCAAATCCTAAATGGATCTGAAAGAGACAAGGTTAAAGACAATCAGAGAATATAAAGAAAAGGAGAGAGCTTTCAGAGACCAATATGAAAGATTACTTCTGTAAACTCCTACTTTGGAGGCTTGTTTAATTTTCTATGCCAAATGGAAACTGATCTTACTTAGAAACTAGCTGTTAATGTACTTACTAAACGACTGAGGTGACTGATATTCTAAAGCCGCCCAAAGGTTCTCAGTCAAAATAGCTTGGACTTTGATTCTTCATGGTTAGACAACTTTAGTCACCACTGGGTGCATTTACATGTTCAACTAATTCACAGGGATAAACTCCGGTGCAGTCTGCACCAGAGTCAGCTGCTCCCGGATGCAACACCTTCATGTGTGGGGCCCAGTCCTGGCCTTTGGGTGCTGGTGTTGGAGGGACTGGCTGGGGCACAAGGGTGCCAAAGCACAGGGCTGGGTGGCAGACCGTCTACAAAAGCATTTCAGCAGAATCAACTACTTTGCCATAAGATAGTACTGTCAGGGATAGTACTATCTTATGGCAGAGTTAATTAATCGACTGTAACCTAATACCGACACTTGTGTAGACAATGATGCTTTACTGCGGAGCTAATTAGTCAACTGCAGTAAAGCGCACTTGTAGTTGCACCCACTGTGAAGCAAAACTACATTCAACAAAACTATGCTGAATTTCATAAGTGTAGGAATGTTGCTAGAATTAGGAAAAATAGACAAGCAATAACCACAGCCTATATCCTTTATTTGTTTAGTGTTGGCAGTCTGCTTGGTGAAGCACAAAACATTACAGAAAGACGTTCCTTACCCAAAGAGTTATCAGCCAAAAGGCAAAGACAACAGGACATGCAAGAAGGAGGATACTTTATGTTTGAGTGGGGATTCAACATCACTACAGCTTTCTTGTGGGCATCATAGAAGAAGAGCTTTTCAGGAAGGATTTCAATAAGGACAGGGATGGCCTGGTAAAGAGAAGCAAGTTTCCTACTCCTGGAACACGGTTCATCCTTTTTTTTCCCACTGGTTGGTTCTAAATTTTCTGTCAAATAACTTGAAAAATGAGTTCTGAAAGCGTGCAAATACCCAGACCATACAGAGATTTTGTGAAACAGAGCTGCAGCCTACCAAAGTATCTTTATGCCCACCCTAGCTATTTCCTTGGACATGAAAGAGGCATTTTTACTGAGATGAATGGTGATAGTGTGTGCATTTTATACTCTTCAGTAGGTTGGATTCTGGCCCAAGTGATTAAACAAATCTACCTTCTCTAGAAGACTTTCTGCCAAGATTTTTAATGCTGGATTAACTGTAAAGTGATTTTATTCAATAAGAATAAGTAGAAAAAGTCAGTCCTTGTGTTCTAAAGTTTCCTCTCAAGCTAGGGCCCTGGACAGACCATACATAGGCCATTCTGGTATTCAGTTAGCATTTCTCTGAGAGTCAACATATTCCTCATACATCCCTAGGATTCAATTCATAACTTATTAATTTTTGTCAGGCAATTTCCACTCTTCTCCCATTATCAAATCAATGTGAGTTTGGTATTTTGTCCCTTTAAAAAAATCATGACCATCTTCAATATTTTATCCTTATTTGGAAACTGCACAGAATTCAAAACCTAGTGATCCAGTACATCAGTAGGAAGATTTTCATCCCACTGTCCACTACAATATTGCTGTTAATAAAACCTGTGAAAATGCAGTAAGAGCTCGCCTACCTTAAATCTCTCTGTTAGAAAAGATTAGATGTTGTAAGAACAGCTATTACACTCTGAGTCAGCTTGCAGCAACAGACTAAATGGTGTAGGGGAGTATTAGAGGTTATAGAATTGTTTCCCTCTAGGTCACTGGCTTGAATCCAAGCCAGGACAGCAGCTATCTGGAGGGATCATTTGATAACTGTTTCATCGGTATATAGGAATACATCATTCCTTCTCTGCTACATGTCTTACAAAAATCATGGTTGGTGCCACTTGTCCAGTCTCAGCAGAAAAGGCCTCAATTAAATTGACATAAAACAGACTTCTCCACAGAGCAAGACTAAGGCTGGGTGGCTAGACAGTGATTATCCATGCTGTGCCTTGTCTCCGAGTAGAGGGCTTCAAGCCCTAAGTCACTTGAAAATCATCATCAACAACCTAACCTTATTTTTCTTTCCGGAAGTGGTGGAGAGAGAAACTTTCCCAGTGTACAAAACTAACAGTATGCATTTATCCTTTGCATGGAGATATGATCAGGGCAGATCATGGCTTGATCTTGTCATTGCATAGGTGTTAACCTCTGATCTTCCTCTCATAAAGCTAGCCTTTCTCTACAATTACCTTGTCCATTATTGACTCCTACTAATGTTCCTCTGCTCACCCCCCAACACATCCAATAAAGGTGTGCTGCTATCTAAGAACCCATAGAAGGTGGTTTTGTTCACAGGGGATTCAAACCCATAACTCTGAGACAGGGCAGGGAGGGCCGGGCTAAAAGCAGCCTGAGCTCTGCAGTGGTACAGCAGTCAGAGGCAGGAGGGAGTTGCAAAAGTGAGTCGAAGAGGCGAGTTAGAGCAGTTCCCTTTTCCTTGGTTATTTATTGCAGCAGATGACACCAACTGTAAGCAGCAGCATAACCAAGGAAGCATAAAGCTGAGCATGGGCAGATGAGATGGGTTGGTCTCCCGGGGTAGAGGCACTGCCAGCAGCCGAAACAAGTCCTCCCCCAACTCCAACTGTTTGCTTCTGTGTGTTGAGGCTGGAGGGCAGTGGAGGCCAGCTACGGACATCCTGGAGGGGTGGGGAAGGGAACGGTTACAGACCTTCCCCCCATCTACCCCATGGCCAGGGGCTGTAAGGGACAAGGGGAACTGTTTGGGAGAGGTTTGGAGGGGAAAGGGCTCCTGGGGGCGAGGAGGGACTGGGCAAGAGGTCATGGGTACTAAGGTGCTTTTGGCAAGTGGGGCACAGGGTAAAGGCAGCCTGGGGCATTGTGGGGCAGGGAGGTGTGAGGGGCAGATGGGGTTTGGGGCTGAAGGGGACAGTGTGGTCTGTGGGGGTGCAATGTGGTGTGAGGGTGGTTGGGAGCAAGAAGAATAGTAGGTAAGGGAGATGCAGGGGGTGTGAGGGGCTATAGTGAAGGTTGATGGCTCCCGGGGCAGGGGAGAGCTCAGTGGGGTGGGAAGGGAATGGCGAAAGGTCAGGGGGTGTGATGTGGACAAGTCTGCGCAGGGTGCAGTGGATTCACAGGGGCAATGAGGAAGCAGGATAAGACTCAGTGGGGCAAGGGAAGGACAGTGGACTCTGATGAGTTTAGGGCACAATGGTATGGGGCTGGCCATGGAGAATATGTGGGAAAATGGGGGACAAAGTAGAACAAGTGGGCATTTCAGGTGGTAGGGGCAATGCAGAATGCCCTGATAAAGGGCAGTGAGGGACGCTTGAAGACCATGGTGAAGTGTCTGGGGGACCCATGCATGTGGGTGCAAGGAGCAGTTCTGTGTGTGGCCAGGCTGGGAGATAACAGCCGTCTCCCCAGGCACCAGACGTCTGCCCCAACCTGGCAGTCAGCCCCTCACAGACTCCATTGCATTTGTTTTTGCCTGGATCATAAACTGTATAGTATAGGCCTAAGCCCAAAGCATATTAGTAAAGCTTCCAGTTTCTTTTTAATGAGAAAAATGCATGTTGTGTTATGGGCTGATGCCCCACGCTACCTGCACACCTCCCTTTTCAAAATCCTAGATCCACCCCTGGATATGCTTACTTTATTCAGCTAATGGACATGATTATCTTCTTTGGTTGACATGAGAAGAAATATTAACTAATACTTCATCTTCTAAAATATTGTTTAATCTTTTAAAACAAGGCACAGCTAGTGAAGCCACAGGGTGAGCCTTTACTGAAATACTACTGGGAAATTACTCTGTCCACTATATAGCTGCTCATCTCTTATTACATTAACTCCCCTCCTTTGTTTTACCAGTGATGCCAGCCTTACCCCATGGTACATCTTCCTTGAATTAATCTGCAAACCCATTCCTCCACAACATCCCTCCTCCAGAACAACTTCTGAGGACAAATGACTAAGCTGTCTCCAGGATAACTACTTTTATATTAAAAGTAAGAAAAAACTAGAGGTGATCTGAAACCACTCAACTGTGTATCAATTGAGCCATATATACGCATGTGATCTCATGACCATTACCATCCCTCTTTCGTTTTTGTCTGTTGTTTGTCACACTCCCAAGCTAGACTTGAGAAGGGACTATGCATTGTAATGTGCAGAGTAGAAATTGTTTTAGTCACAATGGCAATATAAATAATTCAAATATTGAAGTTATAGCAATGCCAACACAGGCAATTTAATGGTATGTATACACAAGTGATTAAGGATATGGAGGCAAGCTCCCCTCTCAAAGATGTTATTCCAAACTTCTACCTCTTGTGCTCTGAGATCCTACATCTCAACAGCCCACATCCCACATCTTTTGGGGTGGCAAGTATTATTAACCTAACACCTTTATTAGCATGCTCAAATGAACCAGTGCCAAAAAGTGGTCCTGCTAATAAGAACATAAGCATCTTTTATTCATTTAATTAATAGAAGCATTCTGACTCCGTCAATAACAATGTGACCAAGTAGATCCTCTAGTGTTGAGTCCCTTAGTTAAGATTACGACACCACCTTCCCTTTGGGCAGTGCTGTGCTCTGAAAGTGCCTAGTGGCCATGTACTAGATCTGCTTCTTGACCTGTGTACCAATACAAAACCTCAAGGCTCTGGGTCTGGTACACCTACTTGATCTCTTCTTGTGTGACATTCTCATCCTGCAATGGAAACAGGGAAAGCAGCAGGAGGTAGGAGAGCACTTTCCTACCCACTTTGTAGCAGCCAGAGTGGGTGGAGATGCCTGTTGCTCCTCACTGCTCCTTCCCTGGCTAGTCAGAGCTCAATGAGAAAGGGTTGAGTTCATGTGGAGTGGATGCTCCACAGTGATCAGACACAGCAAATTGGGAAAAGTGCAGAACTGAAATCACTAG